CACTGGTGGGAAAAACACACCAGGGCAGGAATGCTCTGAAACGAGAGGGAAAGGTTACTACAAAATAAAACAGGAAATCACAAGACAAGGCAAAAGACAAAAGGACTGAACTAAATAAATTAACTTAACACAACTGTCTAGACACCACACTAGGCGACCGCCTATGTCGCCTATGCCAAGAAGCGGCCCTGTACACCATGCTAAATATGTCTGCATAAAGCTGAGTTATGATCGGTCATAATAACACAGAATTTGGTGATGATTAAATAGTTTACAGTGAGATTTACTCCCATACTTTTGGCCATACTCATGCAGCCCTACAAATGAATTGAGATTTCCAGACAAATGTTCTTTAGCAAGTGTACAGAGCAGTGTTGATTTAAAAAAGCAATTTGAAGGTTGGATGTTTGTAAACCTTTTTTTGTGTATATATATTCATAATTTAAGATGTAAATGAATTCCAGTTTATTTGTAGTAGGCCTACTTTCTATTTTTATTTTTGACATTTGGTGGCATCAATGTCTGCATTTGATACAGATAATGGAGCAGTTGCTTTAGGGCCACAGTGTAGGCCTATATCCCTTAAGGTCAAACAATGAGATCCTCGATCATGTTGATTCGGCCACAACAGAAAAAATAAAAATAAACTCTCGCTCTCTCCAGAGGGGCAGGTCAGCCAAAAAGGCCAAACGGGCCGTTGCCCTGGCAACATTAGCCCGTACCTGTGCACGTCCCTGCACCTATCAATCATCAAACCGTGGGGTCTTATTTCATTACGTGTTGATTTCTATCAACACGTAATGTTGTATCGATGTATATAGAGATGTACTACAGCAAAAGTATTCTCCGTCGGGACTTCCTGGAACAACACCACGCCGTTATCTTGATTCTGATTGGCCAGAAGACATTATCAAAGATGTTCTATTGAGAAGACGATCACTACCTGACAAAAGTTTTCAAAACCGTTTCTAGTCTTCGGTATTCTTGTTTTTTGGCGTGATAATAGTTTGGGCAGCGTGAGAGCGTGAGATTGAGAGTGAAAGCGTGTGTCACACGCCAGATGCGTGAGAGTTGGCAACCCTGGTCTAAGTTCAAATGGTTTGGTCACAATATATGTAAACACATATTTTCAAGGCACTCCTTTATAATTATTGGGATAAACAGGTTTGAAATCATTCCAATGTATACTATAGGACAGTAACCAAACATATCCTTTTAAAACTGGACTTTCGACCCAAACCCAGCTGTTGACTTGTGGATGCAAGCAGCTAATCGCAGACTCAACCAGAGAGAAAGTAGTAGGCCTACATCATCAGCTACCATGTCTGACAGAGAGGAAGACAGTGAGGAGAACAGTGAGGAGGGTAGTGATGACAGCTTGTAGGATTACTGGTCGTGCTAATGTTGTCTTGTGTTCGCCTCTGCATGTGTGTTCTGTGTTCACCTCTGCATGTGTGTTCTGTGTTCACCTCTGTGTGTTCTGTGCCATGTGTCTGACAAATAAAGACCGGTTTATTTATTTCATTTTAAGAATGAGCACCAAGCAACATCTTCAGGTGCTCCTTTGAGAACCAGGGCAAACAAGTTATGTGCACCCCTGCTTATTAGGCCCATATTGAGCAGAGCATATTAAGACCAAAACTCATGTACAACAACTTCCTTACTTGCAATAAATAAGCACTAATTAGAGGGTTATTACTAATGTAGTTCAGTCAGACAACTCACGTGTTCCTTTAACATGTTTATTAGAAGCAGCATATAGTTAAGTTTGGCGACTAGGCTCGGGCATCATCACTCCATAGATATACATAGCACGATGAGTGATGATCAAATAACTAACCCCCGAGCCTACAGGTGGAAGCTGGGGTGGTGGTGGGGCAGCGAGCAGCAGCGACGTAGAGGTAGCTGCAGCAATAGCAGCAGCAAGCAATGCATGGAGAGAGATCTGGCAGGTTAAATAGAGCGGCGTATTAAGGAGACTCTGTTTGGTTGGTTGTAGAGTGGCAAGCGGGCGTTATGTATGAATGCAGCATAAGTGCTCGAGTTGACTGCCTGAACTAGCTCGCAGGCTTCGCCTCATTACTTGTAGAATATGGTCATGTAGAATAAGGCATTAATAAGTGTTTAATAATGACTAATAAAGAGCCAATATACTGCTAATATGCATGTTAATTAACAACTAGTTGATGGTCAATTTGTGTACCTTTAATATAAAGTGTTACCCAATATTGCTTTAGATTTGATTTCCCCTATTATTTCGAGAAACTTTTACAATTCTCTGTATTGTGTTTCTTATTTATTCTAACAATATAATAGGATAGGATTTTTGTTGTTATCGATGAATTCAGTGTTTTCTTCTTCCTATTGTTTGGACACTATTTTATTTACTGTATCTTATAAGCCAATGGTATGTGTATATATATTTGTAAAGCTGTCTTAAAGGTCCCATGTCATGCTTTTCGGGTTATTACCCGTCCCCTTGTGTGTTATGAAGGTTTTTCTGCATATAAACGGTCTGCAGAGTCACAACCCCTCAAAGTACACCCTGTAGCGAGTACAACTCTAACACAGAAAATACCTGTCTATGCTGCCCCAGAACGCCGCGTTGGAGATTTCTCTTTTTCCATTTTTTTCTTCCTGGGTATAGTGACGTAACGATACCCAGGTCCAAATGGACCAATCCGCGGAGCTCCTCACACACACACACACTCACTCAGCCTTATCTTTTCTCAGCCGCGGCTCCGCTGATCTCCACTCACAGTTCGCCACACACAGCCAGGCTGAGTTCCGCGATGTCTCTCAGACCCCACACAGCAACCAGGAAACAACATCAGTAATACAGCTCACACTTGTAATGTTGTGACATACTCTTTGGTCCGAAGTTGTGAATACCCGGAATGTTATATGAATGACACCAGTTATGATGTAGTACAGAGCGCGAATGAAGCACAGTTAACGATACTCGCTGTCTCCTGAGTTGTCTATGACAAAGCAAGATACACATGCAAAAGGACAACACTATAACACTGTCCGCTCCTCGAGCCTCAAAGGGCGGAGCAGCGAGCCTCGCAACGTCCCGCCAACACGGCACCCAGACCCCATTTTCATCTGTTTCTCATTACTGGTGTCATTTTCTGGTTGCTAACAAACGCCATTGTAACACATAAACACACATCACCGCGCAGTGGGCTCATAGGGAGGGGGGGCAGGAGCTCCAACAAGGCGTTTAGGACAGAGAGTGAATACACATACTATACAGAGATGCTGTGAGAAACCAATGTGATTTTGGAACATTGAACAATGCAAATCTATTCTAGTAGACCTCAACAAAGGAATTATGATCAGTAGAAATGACCATGACATGGGACCTTTAAAACCCCTGAAAAAGGATTTGCGACCTCCCCTTTAAGCTTTGTTGACCCCCCGTGGTCTAGTTGACCCAAAGAGAGCTGCATTCAAGTTGCCTTTTTAAAATAAAAAGGGGAAATTATGAATGGACTTCCCAAAGAGAACAAAAGTATCAAAATTGCACTTTATTTTAAACACCCCTACCCCCTTGGTGAAATGTTGATACTCATTTGGAGATGTAAGAAACTCAGACATAAACCATTCATTTTATATAAGCTTTTCATTTAAGTAAGGGGCTTTTGAGTTTAATGAAAAGGAAAAAAAGATTAATGGTGAAATTGCTTCTAATTTTAGGACAGTGTGACCACTCTGCACACTATCAGTAAAGTTCAAATTCCATAGTGATTAATGTCTTTGTACACAACTCATTGGAGTGTTCCAGATTTGAGGAGACAACACTGTCCCTACTCCCCATCCATTACAACTTACATTCTTTGGCGAAAGATCATTAATTTTGTTGAATAGGCATGATTACACAATTCTAAGAACATGTTGAGCCAAGACAAATATATTGTCCGTACATGTGTTTCTTTGAAAGCATGCAGTTGATAAAAGGATTATTTTTAGAATGGAATGTACACTATTGTTGACTTTCTGTAACTCAGCATGTAATCACACTTAACTACACATGCTATCATTAAATGGCAAGGCTCATAAACTGCGTTGCCCCTCAGCACTATCGCTTGAAAGTACAAGCAGAATATTTGATATAAGGTCACTAAGTAACATCAACGTTGCTTTGAATTCTTTTCTGTGTTGCATTCATTTATTTCAAAAAGAAGAATGTCACAGCCAGCTGAAAACGATTACAGTTCCTGCTGCGTTTCACCATACCAAGACCATAAATCATGTTACCTAACACCATGTCAATTCATTTCAGCTGAATCATGAGTTAATTAGGATTTACTACATTCAAACAAAAAAGCAGATACATTCAAAACTAAAGCTCTAAAGATCAAACATTTAGCATAACCACATGAAGTGCTTTGTTCAAGCTGCATTTGTTACATGTATCTTTCTGTAAAGCTAGATGGCAGCACAACACTTGTATTGTCTGATCAGTACTTCTACTACTGGCTCTCCATCCCTCTACATATCATCCATAGTCCCGCCAAGAACTGCATGACTCATTTGTAGTTTTTCTTGAGTTGGTATGTAAGACTTTCATCATCCAAACAAATGACATCGCTAATATAATTAGTTTCCAATAATATAAAAACATCACAATAACATTACGATACTCAGTAATAAGATACTTAATCAACATGAAGAATACAGGACAAGATTGTTATTAACAGTTAAGATACATACTTCATTGAAGTTTAAAAGAGACATGTTTAATGTATATTTTCCCTGTATAAAAATATAGTTGTATGCTTAAATATAAGGTAGCTTTATAAATCCTTATATACAAGCAGATAAGTATATGTTTTTTTTTATATCGTAGTACATATAGTCAAAATTGCACTTCACAAGCTGTTAATCAAATCCAGGTAGTCCATGTGGCAGTTTTGGGTCCGGTAACATCAGAAAAATCCTCCCGCTCGCGGCCTCCGTTCCTCCTCAGGTCACAGTTATTTCAGAGAAGATCTTCAGGAATTGTCTTCTGTCTCAGCTGCCAAGCTCGCTTTGGAAGCTGAAGAAGAGACGGACATTCTTGTCAAGTCCCACAGGCGTGATTTGAACTCATCCATAAATTACACACTTGTTCTGACTAGGGATTTCACGAGAACCGATACTTTGGTACGAAGTCAACGCCAACATTATATAATCATTCGATTTTTTTTTTTACAGTATTACTGGTTGTAGTGCCCGGTAGTACCTTAAGGTTCTTGAGACTACATGTATTTGGGACACAGTAATTGTTCTCTTTTAGATGTTTCCCTTGGTAACGAATATGGAGAATAGTGGAGTTTCCCTGGTATCGGCGTCGACTACTAGATTTTGGGTATCCTACCATCCCTAGTTCGGACTGACTGATGCATGCAGAAATATATGATTGAAATCTCTCTTTCATCCAGAGTGAACTATGCAATTCTTTCTTTGATGGACTGTAGCAGCCCTTCTTTTTGTGCATGTAGCTGTAAATCAGTGGAATAAAACCTCTGAGGCGATTTATCTTGATCTGCTGTGAGCAAATAACCCCAACAAGGATTCTCCTTTGCCTTTCCATGCCTTTCTTTAGGACACTGTGCGTGTGCTTTTGTGTCTGTGAACTCGCTGACCAGCTTCAATGCTCCGCCTTTGTCTTCCTGTCTGGAGGAAGAGTCGAGAGACATCCAGGAGTGAGCGTCGGCGGCGTCCGTACCCTCCGGAGCCCATCTTTTTCTCAGGGGCATTGACCTCTCTCGCGGTGTTGCTCATCCGGTGCAGACTGTAGATCAGGTCGTGTAATGCACAGGTGACCAAGGCGCAGCCTGCAGCTTTGTTGGCCGTTCTTCTGCGTCTGATATGTAGACCAAAGCTGGATAAAGAAAATGTAAATGTATGCGTTTTTTTAAGAATGCCTTCCAGGGTTGTTAAGTCTGACATGGCAACACGAGTGGACAGGGTGTAAACCCAAGCCGTCGAGATGTATCTAAATTCATGTAAATGTGTCAGTTCAATGGAGGGTAGATTATCCACATTCTACAAGTTATCTTAAAAATATCATTTTCTTTTACTTTAAATGTATTGTCCCTTAGGTCAAATTTGTGTTTCAGCCCAACATAGAAGAGACAGAAACGTTCGCACACAGACTAAGATACAAAAAAAAGTAATACAATGCATGAATACATCAAGTATCAAGTACGATAATCACTTAAACCAACATAATCATCTAACCCAGTGGTTAAAAACAAAATGTATCATCAGTTTGGTCACTCTAAACATTTTACAGTTTTGTGGCCTGAGAAATGAAGGAATTATTCAGCCTGTAAGTCCTGTCTTTTAGAGGTCCAAATCTTTATCAGAAAATACGGGAGCTTAAACTCTCCATACTGTTCTTGGTAGGAATTTCATTTTTAATTCCTGTAAATCAGGAGATCATAAAGACCTTATCTTGTCTTACACATGCATCTGCGGTGCCTCTCACACTTAACAATGCAGAGCTTTGGGGTTCTCCTGGTTGCCTAATGGTTTAAAAGCCGAACATCAATTATAAATCCCTCCATGTCTACTACCTATTTCTACATTATCAACCATCAACTTTGGGCAAAATTACCCTCAAAACTTAGCTTTTCTTGTTACCTTGACGGAAGTGATGCCAGTTTTCCATTCTCGTCCTGCTGCGCTCCAACATGGATGTCAGAGTGGCTCTCAGCGGCTGTCAATAAGGTGTTACACAGATCTCTCTTCATACGGGTGTGCAGCCATACTTTGGACCTGCCACAAAGAAAAGTACACGTTCTGATAGAAGAAACTGACACTTATTCACAGAGAATAAAAGTAGAGACTTCAAATCATGATATTCAGAAACACGCAAAATAATGATTCAATTCATTGCTGGGCTCAAGACATTTCAAGAGTTTTCTCAGGATGTTAAGAAATATCATCACTTGATGGTTTCAGAAAATATAAATTGATAAGAAATTGCCCGAAATGTTTATCTGCAACGGTCACAAGTTGGCTAATCACAGACATAACGATATCTGCGAGTATTCCTATTGAGTAATAAGAAATGTAAGTACAGGAAGACATGTGGAAGTAGGGTTAGGGTTATAGGGTAAGTAGTTTAGAGGTGACTTTTTCACATAGTTTAGTCCACTGGAGAATGGTTAATTTCTTAACTGTCAAATGCCTTTCGCAACATGAATTCATCATTATTCTATAGTAACCAACTTAGGTGTCCTTATCAAACATAGTTTCTATTTGTTCTGAATCTTATGATCGGCTTCAAAAATCCACTATGTGTCGGGCTCTAGCCAAACTGAATTGAACTGACTTTACTGGATATTTTGATATCAACATTACTTGAAATACACATCTCTTGTGTTGTTAAAGGGTGAGCAAATGACTTCTATATTTATTGATAAAATGATGAGGCTTTTTTTGTAAATGAACACGATGTTCTCTCATAGCTTGTTGATCGGCTGCTCACCTTTTTTTCAGGCTGGTGTTGATCTCCCCTGTGGCACATTTCACCAGTGGCAGGACAGTGGTGAAAACACAGCAGCAGATGACCGTGTGCAGAGCTAATCTCATTTTGGCTGGAAGCTGTCAGTGGCAAAGATTAGAAGAAATTACATTTAGGAGGTTAACTTTGAACTGCAACATCTGGTGATTGATAAGACAGTACTGGAAAGGCTTTGGAACTGCAAAACAGTGTGGTTAACAATCACACTCTGTTGCATTGTCAATTATAAATCCATATTAATGGATTTGTAAGGCATATTATTGGAGAAAAAAACATCTATTAATCCTTACAGCCAAAAACACGGGAAAGAAGTAACTAATTAAACTCTTAGTACCTCAATGTCATATCCCACATTTCACAGGAAATCAATTTACATTCTTAAATACCCGAAGAGTCCTTGTGCAATCCTTTAAAGTAATCTTGAATTTAAATAAGGATTATTTGAAAAGCCACTTACCTTAAGGTTTGAGCTTGGTACTTAGTGTAGATAATTTATGATGCACATCCAAGTATGTTGTATACTGTTTAGCAGAGTAAGTAGTTATTCCCCCCCAAGGTTTTAAAGAGTTTACTATGAGTTGAAGTCTGAAGTTTACACTGCTAACATGAGAGGCTTTATAGAAGGAGGGAGGGAGCTGTACCTGAATGCCAGACCCAGTGGGAGGGACTGTGGGACAGTTCATGTCTAACCCATCCACCCCACATGTAGACAGTAAAACCAAAAACATGCAAAGATTGTAATCAAGTCAGCAATCCTTCAAATGGCGTGACTAAGGCTTGTTAGTTTGTGTGCATTTTAATTTCCCAAAAGTTTTTGAAATAATCCTCTTAGTGCATTTTAGGTTTTTGTAAATTAACACATTTGTTTTCCTCTGTCAATGGTTTATTTTTAGCTTAACAAATTGGAGTCTTATGTGCACCAAGGCCGTTTGCATATTGTTTGCCTTTTCTCTTATTATTTGTCTAAAAAAGTTGTTTTGGGAATCAGTAGGGTGTTTTTATCGGCCATGCATGCTTTCAGGCAGTTAAGTCAAGTTTAATTGTTATTAGATATGTGTTTTTGGATGATTCTTGTTCAGTGCGAGTCAACCATCTGTGATTGTTAAATGGCTACAAAAGGTTAAGTATATTTAAATGACTATGGTGTTGTTACGGCAACAACATGCACGGTGCTTTTTACTGAATTTGTGCTCTTGCAAATGACCAGTTGAATTACTCTGAGTGCTACTTACATCCACTGGTTGTTAGGTTTCTGCATGACCACCTGTGTACAAAGATTAACTTGCATTCAAGTGCACATTGTTTTCAAAATACCCACCGTACCAATTATTATTGTTTTAATCAATAGGTCAAACGTATTCAAAGTTTAATTTCAGTTGTCAAATTTGACCCTGACTCAAAACGGTTAGCCGAAGCACAGCTCTGTTACAATAGCATGTCATGTGGGAACTGTTTAATTTTTCCAGGAGGCAAATGGAGTAGAAAAACAGTTTGATATGGTTGATTGGTCAGCCATGTTTTATTTATTTTGAAAAAGCCTTATTTTACTCAGAATTAATTGCCAATGAGTTATAAATATGAATGTCAGTAACTAGTTAAATAGACATGTTGTAATCAAGATATTTACTGCTGAGAGAAGGGCTGCAAACCAAATGTCAGAAAATGATGAAAAATGATGACCATGAAATTGCAAACCAACAGCCCAGAACCCAAAGATATTCAATGTGCAATTAAGTGACAGAAATATTGCAAGCATCCTCACATTTCACAAACAAAAAACAAACAAAGTTTTGCATTTTTTAAATACATCATTTCAATTCTAATATTAAGTTAAAACATTCTTAGCAATGCATTTTCCTTTGGTCGAATAATCCACTTGAGTGAGTAAATCATATGGGGGAGGTTAGCTGTCCAAAACCACACCTAAAACCCTACAACTATGCATATGACCTCTTTATGATTATAATGATATTGTAATAACTGTTGAAATCATTTCCAATACATTACATACATGTACATGTTATACGGTTAACAGAAACTAAAGTGGTATGAACTGGCAGACATAGAAGGATCTTGAATATTGCACTTATATACTAACTAAGCACTCATATACTAACTAAGCACTCGTATACTAACTAAGCACTCGTATACTAACTAAGCACTCGTATACTAACTAAGCACTCACATACTAACTAAGCACTCACATACTAACTAAGCACTCATATACTAACTAAGCACTCGTATACTAACTAAGCACTCGTATACTAACTAAGCACTCACATACTAACTAAGCACTCATATACTAACTAAGCACTTACATACTAACTAAGCACTCATATACTAACTAAGCACTTACATACTAACTAAGCACTCATATACTAACTAAGCACTCACATACTAACTAAGCACTCATATACTAACTAAGCACTTACATACTAACTAAGCACTCATATACTAACTAAGCACTCACATACTAACTAAGCACTCATATACTAACTAAGCACTCATATACTAACTAAGCACTCACATACTAACTAAGCACTCACATACTAACTAAGCACTCATATACTAACTAAGCACTCGTATACTAACTAAGCACTCGTATACTAACTAAGCACTCACATACTAACTAAGCACTCATATACTAACTAAGCACTTACATACTAACTAAGCACTCATATACTAACTAAGCACTTACATACTAACTAAGCACTCATATACTAACTAAGCACTCATATACTAACTAAGCACTTACATACTAACAAAGGGCTGGCTTATCTAAAGCCAGTTGAGTAGCACTTGAAATGTTTTAGCTCTATGAAACCTGATGTACTTGTATGATTATGTTTTCTTCAAGTTTGTATCTTCCTGGTCGAATGCACTTATTGTAAGTCGCTTTGGATAAAAGCGTAAGCTAAATGCAATGTAATGTAATGTAATACAATACCCGCTGTAATATAGTTGTAAACCAAACCTCTTTTAACTCCTGTCTCAACCTGGTGTTCCCTATTCATGTCAAGCAGTTGACTAATACTAATAATGCCCTTCATCGCCTATTTCTTTGTGCACTTTCTATGACAACGGTTGAAAAGAATATAGACAAGAAATGCTGCAAGACCTGCAGTCAGTCACTGAAATTAGACTTGTTGGCCCTTGGTGCAGGATGCCAAACCAAAACTGTCCTAACAAAGGGTCAGTCTATATGACTTAATGAGTTAAGTGTAAAACAGGACCAGAACTAGAAGACAAACATACATCGTTTATTCACTGGTAATGGAATGGGCCCAATGAACAGCTGCAGGTCTGAAAGAGCCCTAAGAAATTGTTGAACTTTGCACAAATAATGTGCTGTACTTTGAAGTACTTGTAGTCCTACCCAGTTTTGCCTCAAACTTGTGTTGACCTGCGCTCCGCTGATGCAATCCCAGCATATATTACATCCACTACCAACCCCTGTAATCATCACCATCACCATCATCATCATCATCATCATCATGTCTGTAAGGTACATTTCTGTAATCCATAGTGCCAATGTCAGGTCTGTTTTGATTTGACTTTACAAAACACAGTAGCTTAAAAAAGTTTGAAAGTTCTCTAGAAGAACATGAGTTCAATCAGGAGAGACAGTTTTGATGTAAGAATACATATTTATTGCCAGAATACACATGAATGTAAAGGAGTTTTGGCGATTAGGCCCCGTTGTGCAGGAATATCATTCGGGAAGGGAAAACCGATCCGATGAAATCCCCCGGGGTCTAGACACTGGTGGTGGTGAATGGATAGCTGGGGTCGGTCTGAAGAGGAGTGGCTTGGCTTGACCCTGGATTCAGATGGACGGGAGGTGAAGAGGGGTGGAGGAGGGTTGCGCCGATTCACCTGGAATGAGAGCTGTCAGAGGGGAGAGCAGATTTAAAAGGTTTAGCGGAGCGCTATGATAGGCTTGTGAGAATAGAGCGAAGTGATTAGTTAAGCTGGGGAGTGACGCCCCCGATCACTTATTGAGAGGAGAGAGAGTAGTAACATGGAAATAGTGAATGAATGAGTAAAGAAGGTCTTCCTGGTTGAACTTGCGCTAAGCTTCATTCATGTATTTGGATACATTGAATAGATAAACAAAGTGCTGCCATGGCAACAACAAGGCACACTTCATGGGCAAAAAAGATGATTCAATGATCTGTGTTTTAACATGATCCTGTTCGCAAACCTAATTTAAATACTTTGTTCTGCAGAATTGTATTAATCCAAAACAGAATGTACTCATGATCAAAATATATAGCCATAGGTGGTCACTATGGCTTTTATAAATATTTTTGTATCCATATCAGTAAGCCAAGATTTTTTTCTCCCCATAAATTGTTGCTGCATAAATAGCTTTGATATTACACAATAGATTAAGACAATATGGTGTTTGGTTAGGGGACGGATGAAGCTGTGTTTGATTTCCACAGTCAGGGTCAGTAGAGAACGATGTTAGCTCAACATTGGCAGGCATCCATTATGTGATATTATTAGATATTCGGTGTCTATTTATAGATACACATTTCGTTCTGTTGTACTGAGATATAAAGGCAGGGATTATAAGGAGTTTTATTAACCCTGCCTCTTTGGTATGTAATACCATGGTGCTCTTCTTGGGCCTGAAAGTGAATACTCCCTGGAAATATACTGAGCGATAAGCACTCGACTAAATGTGACGCCCAAACATTTCTCAAACCTCATTTCCAAACAATGGAAAATCACAGTATCTGTTGTTTTGTGTGGAAAAATACGGGACCAGATATTTATCAATTACAGGTGGAAAACCAAAAGGGCCCTTGGCAACTCAAACTTCAGCCAAGGCAAAATGCCTTATCACACTGTTAATGACAATTCAAAATAAACCATTAAGTAACCACTGTGATCCCTGTCTCCATAAATGCTGTGTATCGGCCTGGTGGTTTGCTCCCACATTAAAACAGTTCTGCCCGGGCCATTGCTTAACCCGTCCAACAAGCTACATGAAAATTGTCCCAATAATTTTCCGTAACCCTTCTGACAAACAGACAACCCAAAGATGTAACCTTCTTAA